CGGAGCTCGCTTCTCTCCTCGGCCTCGCAATCCAATCAAACCGCACACTTCTCGCCAATTCTATCCAATCGCTTTCATTGTCTTGCTAACGAATCCATCAATAAGGTACGCCCTAAACACCTTCCACTTACAAGGATTTGTTTTCTGCTATTAGGGTTTAGTTAGGGTTTTGGGTTTTTCTCGAAATTTCCTATGTAAGAGAGGCGTATGAATTTCAATTTCTTCCCCCTTTTTTTATATGAGGTTTTGTAAGACTTTTGTCGCAATTTTTTTGTTATTATATGCTTTTGAACCTCCCGTCTATTTTTGTTCTGTTTCTGGGTATCTTGAATTCGTTATTATTTATGTCAATTTTACTAATGTTCCTTTAATTAGATAGCCTCTAGTTGTGGGTGTGGCTTGGAATTAGTTTACCTTTGTTCTCAGTTTTTTTTCTTTTTTCTTTTTTCCTTTTATTATTGGGAATCCATTGGGATTTATTGCTTAGTTTCTGGTTACTTGTTTGGTCTTCTTAGAGAACGTTAAATAATAAAACTTTCATTCATTGGCCTAATGTGCCCAGGTCTATTCTTTTTCTGCTCAGGAATCTGCGTTATATAATTCATTTTTCCTTCATAAATTCGGATTATCAACGTTTGCATCCCCTGAGACTCCTGATAAGGAAAATGGTGATTCTGTACGAAGTAATGGCAGCTCTTCTGCTGCTGCAGAGCCGACGGCTGAATCTAATGGTCAAACCAAAGAATCAGGTTCATATTTGGATGTTGGTTTTCAATGCCTGCCTTAATTGACAAGTGGTAACAAACTCTGCTTTCTGATTCAGATTCTGAGAGTGATGACAATCTCACCATGGATGATCTGGTGAAAGTTGTGGCTGAGAAGGAAGAGCTTTTGAAATTAAAGCATAAAGAGATTGAACAAATGCAAGATAAAGTTGTTCGCACTTATGCAGAGATGGAGAATATAATGGCCAGGACAAGGCGTGAAGCTGAGAATTCGAAGAAGTTTGCTATTCAGGTATTATTTTTCATTTGGTGTATTTCTTATCCTTGGTATATATATATGTTTTTTTTTTTCATGTTTCAATGACATGGGACAATACATTAATAATGTTCACTTGCAAGATTCTCTCCTGATATTATTTTTGTGTGATTTAGAATTTTGCAAAGGGTTTACTGGACGTTGCAGACAATCTAGGACGAGCTTCATCTGTTGTCAAGGAAAGTTTTTCAAAGATTGATTCAACTAATGACACTGCTGGGGCAGTGCCCCTATTGAAAACCCTTCTTGAAGGTGTTGAAATGACTGAGAAGCAGCTGTCTGAGGTAAAGTTCTCATGTATAAAATGTTATTGAGGTTTGCAGTTAGAACTTTGATATCAGCAAAACTTGTATGGCAAAAGACTTAGTCAGTTGAAACCGTCTTAACTAACATATCATGGTATATCGGCCATTGGCCGTTTCCTTCTAATTTTGGCTCTTCATGACATCCTTGTGCTAATTATGTTTAACTAAATTATGTTACTTACAGGTGTTGAAAAAGTTTGGAGTGGAAATATTTGACCCTACAAATGAGCCATTTGATCCACATAGGCACAATGCAGTTTTTCAAGTACCAGATGGTTCTAAGCCTCCCGGTACTGTTGCTGCTGTATTGAAGGTATGTCTCGTAGTCATGATCATTGTTTTGTGTGTGGTTCTGTTTCTACCATTATTATATTTCAAATTCTTCATATTTATTAGAGTTGCAAATGGAGATTTTATGATGATGAAACTGTAGGCGTAGGCATTAGGCAAGACAAAAGTTTTATTAACAAAGGTAATAAGAAAAGAAAATGGGAACTTCGCAAACATTTTCTTTGACAAATTAATTATTCTGAAGTGCCATTTACAGGCTTAAAGTAAGACGAACAAGCTATGAACATCATTGGCATTGAAGACTAACACTTCAAATCTTAAATGAAATAAATTTTTGAGAAAAGGGAATTGAAGATCTTGATCTTGAGATGCATAAAAGTTGGGAAGCATAGGGGCCTGATACTATGTTCTTGAAATGTCTGGGTCTGGGAAAAATTCTCTAGATACCAGGTTTGAGCCTCTAAATGGAGAACTCATTAAATAAAAAGCTTCTTTGAGCCAGTGCTATTAGGAAAGAATTGGGAATGCTATCAATAGGAAAGAATTGGGAATGCTATTGGGATATCAAGGGTATGTTGGTAATTAGGTAAGGAGTTAGGAGAGTTTATCATAAACTGAGTGGACTTGGGTGGACGAAGATAGGGAATTATTTAGATAGTTTAGGGTTGAGTGAAAATGCCCAAGAGGAGGGTCCAAGTACCACGAAGTACTTGGTTATTTTGTTGTTCTTTTAATTTCAATGTCATTTGAGTTCCACCTGCGCTCTATCATTCTTCTAGAGTTATCTTCGAATTGGCTACGTTTTTTTTTTAACAAACACGATGACATAGTATGAAAACATGGTACTTGAATCTGTACCTTTTTGTCGAAATAGAGGTTGTAGTAGAACTTGCATCAAAAACTATAATAATTGCAAAAGCCTAACTGTGATTTTGTTGTTAATATCCACAGAAAGGATACATGCTTCATGAGCGAGTACTTCGACCTGCTGAAGTCGGTGTTACTAGAGCTGTGGAGAATGAGGACGGAGCATGAAGGGATCGGTTGGAAGGATGGATATCCAACTCAAATTGTTTCCCCTGAAAAGAGTTTTGGTATGCGGAATGTTCTTCGATAGAGAAGATATCTAATCTAGACTTCCTGTTAGATGCAGAGGAAGAGGAAAACAATTCATTGCTTTGATAAACATTTGATTTTGTTGTGTATTTAGAGAGAGAGAGAGAGAGAGTGATATGTGAGGGTATTTCTGTGCTTTCCTGGTATCAGTTCAAATTCAGAACATGTATTCTGAATACCATAAGCTTCATGTGTAAACATATTCTCGAGGCATTTTTCTTTTGGTTAGAAAGTTACCAAAGGGCTTCTTGACGAGGATGAACCAGAGAGATGTCCACATCTTAACAGCCAGGGGCAACCTATAAAGATATGTGTATGCTAGAGATATCTTTATGTTTTTACCTTTTTTTTTTTTTTTTTTTTT